TGGATCGGTGTCTGATGAAATATGTTCACGAATTGAAAAAGCTCGTTTGGCTTCGGCCAACTTACGTACCCTACAGCGAAGGCGAGATATTCGTCTATTTTTTAAAGGATGAGTATGCTTTGCATCAGTTCGTTATGTTCTCCTTTACGGCTGTGAAATGTGACCATTAAGACTAGAAGATACTCTTAAGTTACTAGTATTTGATCACAGATGTCTTATAAATATTGTTCACTTCTGCTGGGATCACTGGGTTAAACTTAGTGTATCAGGGAAGTTTCGTGAATATTCTACTTTCGAATATAACTCAGCATAATCACTTGGTAATAAATATTCTTGGTTGGACGGATTACTTCAATTCACTTGAGAGCTAGTGCACCCATTCAAGTTTTCACCAGATAGTTTATTTAAAAACTGAATTAAATTTACTGATGCTACTCAAATTTATTGGGGTAATATGGATTACACACTACCAATTTTCTGTGAATTATGTACTATATCTACTAGCTGTCATCCTTCAATTGTACGTTATAATAATCTGGGGCTTTGTCGTAAGATAAAGTTTAGTTCGAGTTCCAGAGTGAAGATCAATTCTGGGATACAGGTGCATCCGGCTGACGACTCCCGAAAAGGACGGAACGCGCGTCCTGGATTTCACTCCCATCCATTACCCATCTCTGCTTATAATGTTTTATTTATTTATTTGAACAAATAAATATTGGTACAAGGGGGCACCAAATGTATATGCGCCACACAAAACAATGAGAATGGGGCGAAAAAAGAGGTAAGGAGAGTAAAAGAAAAAAGAAGAAGAGGGACAATAGCGACCAGATTAGTGTAAGGAAGTGTAATAATAATAATAATGGGGGGAACGGAAAGGTACACCTATAAGAAATCTTTCAGTTAGTGAGGATACAACCACTTTTTATGAAGTAAAAGAAGGTTACAGCAGGATCGCCACTGGATTCTATTCCGAGCCATATCTGATAACATTTCTAGCCACTGTGTTGCACCATCTCTCGGACCCCAGTCAGAGGGTCGTGAAGGACCAACACAAGTCAGCCCTTTTCAGCTTTCTTTCATATCACGACACCATGTCATACACTTACCACCTCTCCGCCTTTTCCAACCAGTCCTAGAGTCGGCAACTAATGCACGACGTGAAATTCTCTGGGACGACCTTCGTAGAACATGTCCCAGCCACCGAAGTCAATGTTTCACGATGGTGACACCAATTGGATTACCGTCTCTGCGCCCGAACACACGATGCCGAACCTCTACATTACTGACATTGTGTTGCCACTGGATGTCAGCGGTCCTTCGGAGACAACGATGATCGAACACAAAGAGTCGTCTAACATCCTCAACTCGGAGAGGTCAGGTCTCACAAGCATAGAGCATAACTGCTCTCATCGACGCTTTGTAGATCCGACTTTTTACAGCCAGACTAACATCATGAAGGCGCCAAAGATGGCCCAGATTGGCATATGTCGCTCTGGCTTTCACTATACGTGGATTGATCTCATCACACACATCCCCACCAGCACTTATGCAGCTACTCAGGTACACGAACTTCTCAACTGTTTCTATCTGTTCATCATCCAGAGTAAGTGCAGGATTAGAATCCTGCCAGTCTTGTAGAAGTACTTTGCACTTCGAAGGTGCAAAGCACATACCATACCTACGAACACTGATTTCCAACTGATTAAGTGCGGATTGCATGCCTTGGGCATTATCGCACAGTGAGACAATATCATCCGCATACTCAAGGTCAAGAAGTCTTTCCCCAGGCAACAGATCCACACCGCCGTTACTTAAATCTATCTCTTATAATCTCTTTTCTTACGGTTATGACCCAGCTATTCCTATTGCTTAGTATTCTCGGACACCGATTCACTCGAAAAGTCCCCAAATCAGAACACGGTTGAACAGGAAGAAGATTATATTCCAAATAACAAGGTTAGATGGAAGCAAGAAGCAAGTCAGAAGCACGATAGAGAAAACGTCAATATATTTATAGTTTTTTTTTACATGAGAAGATTCTAGAGTACTCTCCAACTATTGACTAGTGCTGATTGAATAAGAATTAGCCAATCAACGTGCACCAAAGCAATCGTGAATTGAGCATGCTTTAATCCGGTCTATGTCCCGCTAACACTATCAGAGCTGTTTCCAGAATGTCATCGATAGCAAAGTTGAAGAGGAATGCTGAGATTGGGCAACCCTGTCTAACCCCACTGCTCAAATGGAACAATAGAGCGAGGTGGTTGTATGCCCTCACTCTGTCTGAGGTGTTTGTATATAGGGCCTTTAAGATGTTGAACTTTTCAGACACACCCTTCTTCAATAGACAATCCCAGAGAACAGTCCTGTCCGATGAGTCGAAGGCAGCCATAATGTCAAGAAACACTACGATTGTTGGCCTTTGATAATTATAACGGTGTTCTAACATTTGGCGGAGAGTGAAGATATGATCAATACATCCTCAACCAGAACGAAAACTAGCCTGCTCCTCGCGAGTCAATCTTTCTCGGGTTCAGACTATGAACAGTGCAATCACCTTTAGGGTGATTAGTAAGCAGTCAAACTCCAGTCTTCTGAAGTTTGCTGAAGCCATTGCCATCAGGCGTCAAAAACCTGACCTATGTATTCAAAAGGAGAAGTTGGCTAATCTTTCCTTGCCTTGGTGACAAATACTCTTTCACTGCACCTTAAATGTTTTTCTTTTGTATTTATTACATCATTAATTTTATTTTATTTTTCCAACTATCTTTCAAATTAATGATATTTCAACTGAACTCTACTCACTATATTCCTATCAATGTTTATTCATTATGTAATCAATTGTTTCTAATCCACTTTCGAACTGTTGTCACAGTTAATGTTGTAGAATATTCTTTCACATTAGGTATATATTTACAATATTCAGTAAGCAAATTAAACCCATTATGTAATTATGATTTCTAAATATCAAAGGTTGTAAGCCGCTGATGAGAACCTACTAAATAAAATGAATCCATGCTATTCTGCTAAAATCTTTGTTCTTGCTCTTTTCGAGATCATTTTTAATTCCTACGCTCTCGGCCTCGTTTTGCACTGTTCTTCATATCTCGATATCGTTGAGATAGATAATGCCAGAAAACTAGGAAGATCATTTATATGGGACAGGAATAGCAATGGTCTTATAACTCTAACCTAAGGAATTCCACTAAGCACTTTCCCAGCTGGATAACTCGGAGCTAACCCATACTCTTTGTTTATTATTACAAGTAGGTTTTTGTGTATCCGAAATTGTTCAAATTCGGTAACTGTCTAGTTCACGAGACTTTCAAAGACGTTACTGTAGTCAGTAATCACCACATTTATTAGTGGCTTATAATTTTTCAAAGCTTATTAAATTATTTTGCTAGTAGTTTATCAAACACAAACAGTCTGTTCTGAAACCACTATATCTTTCGAAAAGTATCATTTTGTCATATAAATACCCCAACAACTTAAGAATTTTCTCCATTCAAATCTTAATGACTATCTTATTTAAGCATTCAAGATAATAACTTTCAGTACTATATCGCGTGCGCAGTTTGAAGGCAAGAAAAAGGTGTGACTTCTTGTAAAAGCTCATAATACATTTCATCTGGTTTTGTTGATTTATTTGTATTAAATTTACTTAGTTACCCAAGTATATCGAGTTCTTGATTGGTCAGAGTATCAAGAGTGCAGTCATTATTGTTGTAACTTGTCGACTACATTATAAAACTGTGGATACAACTGACTACGTGCCTCTGTATAACTGAAGGACGTACGAATGAAGTCGAAATCGTAAATAAGGATTTACTAGTACCACAATATACATTCACAACAGATGCAACCACTGATTTAAGAACCATATGAAAATATACTGAATCGTGTATTGCGCACTTATCTGGTTAATAGGCAAATTTGAATATATTAAACTATATAGCAGTTGATTACAAATTAATCACTATTTAAATACATGTATATCAATAAATACATCATTAAATCTAACTTCACTAACAGTATAAATAAGTTGCCAAGTTTCATACATGCTCTTTGCTAGTAACTACGATTTCATATGAGGCAGGTGTCTGTATTGTGTATATGCCGTTAAACTCCCAGAATACATCATCTTCCATTGATGATGGTATAGAATCATCTCTTCGCAAAGCTAGGGTAATGCACTTTCTTCTGTTCAGTGGTTTGTGTCCGAAAACAGACTATTTCGGGCATTCTATAGATTCCTTAGTTAGATTTTCTCAGTATCTTCTTTTGAAATCCCATAGAACTAAAAGTCAAATGTCTCTAGTCTTTAGATATTAATACTTCTTGTCACCACTGCCTAGGAACTTAACTTTCTCCCGCATACTTTTCCTTTTATGAACAAGAATACAAACGTCTCTGTTGGACCATGATGGGGTATTCCCTGGTCTGCATATTGTGTCCATGAGTATAGTAGCCTTTGTTTTTGAATTCATTAAGATTTCCCAAGTCATGCCTAAAAATTGTACTGGGAATACGATGTGCATAATTGCTTGCATATTTTCCTTCCGCACATTTTTTTCTTTCCGAGGCGGACACCTTATTGCTGGCAAAAGTACGGAGAGTAAAAACTAACAGTGTTTAGTCACTATTAAATACCAATGAAATATGTTCGAAGTTAGTGATGTCTTGATTGTGGTGGGTTAACACGAAATTTACCAACGATAGTAATGGATTCGCTTCATACTATGTTGCTTCATTTGCACCGACAGAGAAATGGTCTCAGGATTCATGATTGTGTGTATCATTAGCATTTCGCTCCCCACCAACATTCATTACTAAAGTAGCCTTTAATGAAAGACTGGTCTGGTTCAGTCAGTGTTGACGGTAAAATCTTGCTTGGGTGTTTGGGTAATATTTCATGCCGCTTTCCATTGGATACCAAAAGCCAAGGCATTCGGAACTGCCTTTATTAACTTGTTCTATCATCATTTAAAAATTCCGGAGTGTTAATTCAAAAATAACAAATATCGGACAAGTAAAAATACATACAGTAGCTGTATAGTGAAGTAAATTACTGAGAATTTTGTTCATTTACTTTAGTATGTATTAAAAAACGATTAATAGACTTTTTCATCAATATGACGTTTTAGTTACAGTGAATTGCTAGAACCAGTGGTTTATTTGTATGAGATTAGGAATTTGTAGTGAAGCAAACGCACAAAAAAGCGAGAACACTGATTCAAAAATTATTTAACTATCCAACAATTTATTTGAACGAATTGCCTGGTAGTAGTAGTAATTTCATACTACGTGGAGAAAACCTGAACTTATTTTCTCTTCACTTCAAATCTGAAAAAAAGTTGTTTGGGCCACCTATGGGGTTGCTAAAATTAGTCAAGACAAAAAATTCATGGACAGTATAATCTTAGTATATCTTTTTATTACTAGAGTATCCTTTAGTATCATGTCATTTTTAAACCTATATGATGACCAAGTTTAATATATCTTGATCCGAATATATGACTAGAAAAAGACACATGACGAATAAAACGATATACAAACAAATACACTGTACAGTTCGAAAATGATTGTCAAATAAGGTAACTCAGATATAAGACAGAGTTTTGGAACTTAGGAAAATAATTTGTGCAATCAGTCACATAGAGAGGATACGGTAGTAGTAGTAGTAGTAGTCAGTAGCAAAATATAACAGCAATAATATATTTGCAGTTCTTATGGGTTCAAATCTAAAGATAATTAGATTCCGATCTGTTTTGAGCATAAATGTTCAATAGTTAACAGGCGTTTAGTTCAATACCAATAAGCGAAATCTATGGTAAGATTAAATGGATAAAAAAAATTCACATTACTTATCGAAACTCATGATTGTGTTCTTTGAGTAACTAATGTACAAAGAGTCGTTGACAATGAATATTACAGCCGTGGTAGTCAGTGAAAGGCTGTTGGTCTACGTATGTTACTCCTCTAAAGCCTTTCATTTTGTGTGGGTATTTGATGTAAAAATCATAAACATTTCTGTGTGTGTGCCGGTTTGCAAAATGTCAAATTTCATTCACATAAACTAAATAAATTCTTCTTTTAGAAATTCAACGCCAACAAACTTTCTAAAAATCTCGGTGTCACTGTTCAAAGAAGGCATAATAGAAGACATGACTTTGATAATAAGTATCATTAATTATTAAATTTAGGAAAACATTAGCAGGGTGATGGGATTCTTTGTTCAATTATTCTCCTTATCATAACTACACCGTAATATGTTTAACAACATTAATAAGATTGATATTAATGACGTAACGATATTTTAGATAATAGTGTTACGAATTCAAAAGTGTTTATGAAAGTAAATTACGAATGATTTTCTCTAAAGATCCTGACTACAAGAAACTTTACGTTTATTATTCTTAATGTAGACATTCGATAGTGTGACTGAAACAATAGTTTTGGTTGATTGGAGAGGTATGCAAATGGAGGTTAGGAAGGAATGAATATTTTCATTTTCTTAGTGTTTATCTCTGTAGACGGGATCGTACTTCTAAAATGTAGTCCCCTGTTCGCAATTTTCCTCTCGTTGATCTTTCTGTCACTTGTTAACCTTAGTTTCGAATCATCACGTTTGTCCAATCACAACTCGGTATTATGATAACTTTTGTCCTATACAATTCATTGTATTTACCAATCACCAGTCCAGTATGAATTTTGTACAAAATCGTTCGCTTTCTGATTGGCTGTTCAATCATTTCTTTTCATTAATTCAAATGGAATACTCCTAACCCTGTCGATCAAAAAATACTTTAGAACGTGCTAGGTATAACTAAATAACCTGGGTTGTTACAACGATTGGCACATGGTTTACTATATAGACAATAGATTTGACTTACTCTTATTGGACAAATGTTTCGCTAAGAGTTTGTCTATTTCATCTACTATCGATCTGTTTGCGTATTTTATATGGCAACACGTGTCACCTTGACAACGCCTAACGCGATTAAATTGAACTAGTCATCATTTTAGTATAGATTTATGTAGTCGTTTTTAAGTAATAACGGAAGTTGTAATTACAATAATTCGCTCTCTTCATGGATGTGGATTATCCAGAAACGTCATTTACGGTAAGCAAATCTCACACAGTAAGATAAGTTATTTTTGTTCTGCGAAGCTGTGTATACACCTTTCGAATTTTATCATAAATGTCATAACTTTTCGTTTTTATGTGTACTATTCAGATTCCTGATTTTATCCATCTATCTGTGTGTGATATTTTATTTTAGCGACGGTTGAATTTAAATATGTTTTATCCATAGTGTGTTAAAACTAATAGTCCAATTACGGAAAGAGCTTTAGAAATTTTATTGTTTTAGAACCCAAAGTGATGAATTGTGGTAATAATGTTTATACTTTTTGGACTAATTGTTCAGTAACGAAGGCTAGTTACTTTGTGTTATAATTCACCATACCATAAATACATAACTTTTTCAGTCTAATTAGACTCTAAAGGAAACCCTTAAAACATAGACTTAAATGTAAACATTTAAACTTTTGCTATGAAGGGAACCAGTTAAACGATTTTAGGCAGCTAGTAATTATGTTCATCATCTAAACCAAAGTATTTACCAGTGAGAAAAAACGACAGAAATAGACTTTTACCACTACTTTAAATAAATATAACCTTAGTAATTGAAGTTCTTAATATTTCACATATTTTGGTACCATCTCGGAGTATGATTTTGGTAATCGTGATGTGTGCATTTTAATATAAAATGAGGTATTTTTGAGTCGGACAGAAAAAAACTCTGACGCTGTAATATCCACTCATTCAATACAATCCGTGAGGAAAATTTTTGTTGACAGTTCTTTAAACACTAATTCAATTTTGTGTAACTACAGATTTTTCCTTTACAGTACATTAAATACTATGACTTTCAAAGTAGAGCAATTACTTAACTCGTCATCATCATTTTTCGAAATCCGAGTATTGATACATCATTAGTTAAATACCCAATGCCTCAAATTACTTTCTGGCTTATGTGTCCATTTATTTCATCTTTTAATTGGAATCAGAATCCTCCTGATACTTCTTTTTAGAGATTACATACTAAACAGTGAAATTCTTGTTATTTAGGAAGGTATATCATGTTTTCTTTTAAAAAGATATTAGATTCGAATCGTGCTAAACAAGGTTTTTATTCGCCCTTTTGAACATTTGTACATGATTTCAACCATATTTTATATCATTTGTTTAAAGGACTTCCAAGTTTTTGAATTACTCGGCCGTGGAGGCTTCGCACAAGTCTATCGTGCTAAGTCCACGATTACCGGGCAAGAAGTTGCTATCAAGATGGTATGTTCCTTTCTTATTTTCTAACTATTAAAATTTTAAAGATTACCTCACATGTTTTATAACTATTTTTCATATCACCTGTTACATTTTAGTTTTGATGTTCTTACAACAGTGTAAGTTTTTGCTTTACATAGGATTTGAACTATCTTTCCCAAACCAATAGATTTATCCAAAAATTAGTTTTATAATTGGCAGTTTACTCCTCTAATTCACATGAAATACACACATGTACATGATAATTATTATTTGTCAACGAATTTTGAATTTCAAGACAAATTAATATATATCTTAGCTAATAATTTTCATTTATATTAAGATGAATCCGTAGAACTACTGTAGATTATTGGTCATAGCTTTCTGATAAGATTTAAACTTGAAGTACTTCAAGTAATTTTATTTTTCATATTCGTTAGAAATTATTTGTTTTCTTACTAAACTATAAAATGAAATAGTTATAGCGAGTCCCATCAAAAGATAACTTGCATTATCACCATAAAGTAATAGTTTGTAATTGTTCATTTATGATTATTATTTGCTGATTCATATAAAATACTTCGTAATCTAATAGTACTAATTAACATAGGGTCATATGAATTAATTCCTTCCATTATGTTTAATAAGTTGGTTGTAAGTCAGCGATTCAGTGTTAAGTTGAACTAAATCGAATAATATTCAGGATAATATCACTCACAAATATCGATTCACGTTTAGCATATCATTTTTATTAAAAAAAAACCACTTGATCTGAAGTTTGTGCTGATGATGTCGTTCAGAAGAACGATGAAAGCTCCGCGACCAAACCATCCATCTCAGAGAACAAAACTCCGTCAAAGCCTACTTGGTCATTCAGAAATCTTTTTGAATATATATGTATATATTTGCAGTAATAGTAACATATAACTGTATACATTAAAAATAATTTTACACAACTATTTATCTATTGTTTTGTTAAACTTACGTTTAGATCGATAAAAAGGGTATGCTCCAACATAGACTTGCCAACCGTGTACGCCGTGAAGTAGAAATACATAGCCGTCTCAAACATCCTTCAATATTAGAGGTTAGTTACATTGTGAGATGTTTGTCCGAATCGTTGCAGTTTTTTTTAAAAATTGTTTATCGGTCATCTGCATACATTTTTTTGTTTACAGTAAGTATATTTAAATTAAAACAAAAGTAGTATGTATTATATATCAGTTAGTGAACCAGTAATAGACATCTAAGAATTTGTTATGAATGTGTAGCTAGTCAAGCTTTCACATCTTATGCAGCGAAATAGGGAAGTTGAAAAATGGAAACGAAAATGAAAATAGTATCGGTTGAAGAAGGGACTAAACCAAAAGGAATAAACAAGATGAAATGATGAAAAGTACATAATAACGGTAAACTCAAGATTGTTTTTGAGTAAAATGTTATCAAACGTGTTAAACTTTCGTAAAAGGATACTTTCAAGTATATTCATCACTTTACAGTTTGTTTGTTTGTTTTAATTCTCTATATCTTAATTTATATTTAAAATTAAAATTAATTAAATTCTATTCATGAAGACAATGACAATAAGAAAAACAACATTGATCATAATCTTGAACACAATTTCAATTTTTTTTACAGTTGTATACGTGTTTTGAAGATGAAAATTATGTTTATTTGGTTTTGGAAATATGTCATAATGGAGAATTACAAACTTATATACGTCAAAATGGCCCTGTAACCGAAGATACTGGTAGGTAATTAGTTATTTGAAAGTAATAAAAATCTACTCATTTCATCAAAGAATAGTTTTTAACACTGACTTTAAAATTATTTAAAGTTATTTATGTAATCTATTCCACTATTATCATTGACTCATAAACTGCATCTATTGGTTTAATCATTTCGTATATGCATATAAATATTACGGTATATTAGAGTAATACCCGATGTGGATCTAATCGAAAACAATATTGTTCGCTTATATATGTTGTTCTAAATTTAAAGTTTGTATGCAATCGTCTTTTTAATGGTCCGTGCATTTATTTATTAATGATTGAGAATGATGTTACAGTAATGAAGAGGTTCAGGATGTAGTTCAACCTGTATTGTGTACGTATTTTACAAAAATTTAATCTCCAACATGTATTATATCATACTGTGATGTGTGCTACTGTAGTATGTATCGTCAATCGAAAGTGAAGTGTCTGGCGGTAGTAGGATAAGAAGATCGAAGGAAAGAAAACAGGGAGTGATTGGTGTGGAAACGAAAGAACAATGAAGTCCGAGAAGATTGATTGACATTTTGCAGAAAGAACAGTCAAGTTTGAGACAGTTGATTGATATTTTGCAAATAAGGAATTTACTGTATGATCCTCAGATTTTGCTAAGATGTTCTGTACTTTTGTGTCCAAATACAATCGATTGTCCCCACTTTTGTTCTCGTTCACTACAGAACTATCAGCAGTGATCCAGTTATTCGTAAGATCGCTTGTCGAAGTAAAACTTCTGATTAGTGTTGTATATTTCTTATTTTATGATTAGGCAGCTGAATAGTCTTATACTTCTAAAACAGTAATTCACAGCTAACGTGCAAATATTATAAATTATTATCGATATATATTTTTCAAAGTTTATTAATTAACCAGCTGAGAAAATAAAAATCATTTTTTTGTAAACTAGAGCTTGTTTCTCGCAGTCACTCAACTGTTTTGAAGGGACTTCCCGGTCTTCCACATTGTCCGGAGATCCACTATCCTTGTGTTTAATGTTACCCTGGTCAACAAAAGAGGCGTTGACTCCGTGGCTTCCACAGACGCGTTTTTCACTTTGAGGTGTCATAACTCTTCTATATGAACATTTTACCTCCCAGGGCAGTTTAACTGGTTTCTTCTAGGGGGCTCGCTTTTGCGAGGTGAGGTTGCTAACCCTACACACAACCCTCCATCTTTATCTAGTGTTGGGACCTGCGGTACACCTAGGGAAGCTCCAGGCGGCGTTACAGTTACTTAGTTATCATGTTATATGTCTGAGGTGATTTTTTTCAGTATGCTAATATTTAGGTAGTGTGCATAAAAAGTATCTCACCCTTGGTTTTTGAAGCAAAACAATTTGAGATTTTCACGTTAGGCTGTTTTTGTTACTCTATGCGTGTTAAGTTTTGGTCGTATATTGTTATTTTTAAGTTTATGATTGGATATTTTCCTGTTTTTTCTCTCGTTTCAAATTTGAATAGCTCGACATTATTTAAAACAATTGATCAGTGGTCTTCTTTATTTACATTCACACAACATACTTCACAGGGATTTAACTTTGGCAAATCTTTTGCTAACTAAAGATATGAAAGTTGTAAGTGGTGCAGTTTTTTTATTATTTCTTGATGTCAAGGCTACTCGTCATTGTCTATTGATTTTATAGCACATTAAATTTGATTGATATATTTTATGAATGTACTCTGAACAAACCTATTTCTTGAAAATTGTGATGGCCTCAAGTATGTTCACGAAACCTGTGATGACGGTCAACATATTCTGCAATATTTTTAAGATTGGAATTTCTTTCGTTTTGAAACTTGTTCATCATTTACTCTCCTGTTCATTTTAAATAACATGGCTCCATATAGACCTGTTATTTTTCAAATTGTTACTTTAAGCATTTTATAACTACAAAATTCTGTTATGTGCCTAATTATTTCGGTGAATATTTGTCCTCAAAATCACTAGTTTTCTGTTTCTGGTTGCATCCGATCACCAAATTTCTTCAGATTGGTTCTTCTTCCTCCCAAGATGTGATGTTTCTCATTTTAATTCTATATCGACTGAATGGCTAAATGATAAAAACAAATTGTGTTTTAGTTTTTCTTTCTTTGAAAAACCGAATAAGCCTCAGTATTTCTCAACCCGCCACTGTCCATAAACGTTGCTTAGACTGTTTCGTTTACCTTGTATGTTCTGTTTTCCACATCAAAATGCATTTGATGACTCACTCATGCCCACTTTTTCAATATTTATATATGTCATCAGTTTGTATACTAATGTCAAGTATATACTTACATTTTAATTTTGCTACGGGTTGTAAACTACCAGTAATACTGTATTATGAAATCATCTCAATATGTCACACCATTCATGATTTGACATATCCATCGATTTTGTCCATAATGCTCATTTTGAACTACCCTAGAAATCATGTACTTTCAGAAAGCGTAAACTTAAATTTATTATTATCACCTATCAGTTTTTATCAACCTGATCGTGCCTGTAAAATGGCATATTTTCTGTACTAATTTTCGGAATTTATTATCATTACAATTACTATTATTATTATTATTATTATTATTATTATTATTATTATTATTTACAGACTCCTCAAAGTATAGATGTACCATTAATTTCATAATATAACTCAACTATTAGGTACCAAAACGAATAAATTAATCGATACACCTTCGAGTTCCATTTCATAGGTAATTAAGTCCAATCAAAATCAGCTAATGATGAGTTATCTAGCTAAGTTTACCATCTGTTTATGGGAAGCTCAAAAGTCTAATTCACTACTATTAGTAGTAAAAGATAAGGGATAAAAATAAATTACCTCTCATAAGTAATTATTTTTCATCCTACTGCATTAGTTGGTAGTATATAGTAGGTCTTTTTAAGATAGCTACTTTTAATTTAAGTATTTTAATTGACTTTTGAGTCAGTGACACTCATAAGGGATTTTATTACATATATGCTGTTTACAGCTGTCCTCTTGGAATTCATAGTAAAATTCTTTATCTCCTTATTGGAATAGAAAATTGCTGACTTTGGATTGGCTACTAAAATTGAGCCAGGTGAAGATCACAAAACAATGTGTGGGACGCCAAATTATATTTCCCCGTAAGTGAATTGTTTATATTGCTAATATTCATGTAATGTACACACCCATGTGAATGTAACAATATGTTCTCATACTTATTTCCTTGCATATTCGGGATATTAACTGAAAATGCTACTATTTATTTGCTCTTTCTTTTCTAAAGGGAAGTCGCTAGTCATAATCAACAGGGTTTAGAAACTGATGTCTGGTCGTTAGGGTGTATGTTTTATACGCTAATTGTTGGTCATCCACCATTCGATACGCGAGAAGTTCGTTCAACTTTGAATCGTGTCTTAGCTGTCGATTATGAGTTGCCATCAACTGTTTCCTCTGAAGCAGCTGATTTAATTAATTCTTTACTTCGACGTGAACCTCAAGAACGTCTCAAGTTGAAAGCAATCATACAACATCCATTTATGTTAAAGAAATCACGTCCTCAGCGTCACATGGTGAGTACTTTTGTGCACATCTATAAATTGTTTGTTTTCAACATACTTTTCTTGTTGATGTCTTGTCGACGCGAGAGTGTGTGAATATCAGGTTTACTAGAGTATTTGAGAAAAGGTGTCTTTACTAGATATAACAATTAGCTATAGATTTATGACAATGGTCGATGGATTTCCTGTAACGAAAGTCCGTGTTGTAGATTTGTATTCATTCACTCACTAAGTATCTGCAATCTCTTCTCAAAGAAGTTGGAAAGCTTTACTCATTCAAATTATCAATAACTTTCGTTTGCAATTCTGAACCATTCTACTCACTCGAGTGTTACGTCAGCAGTCTTTACACTAAGTGTAAAATATTTACGTTTTTCTGCTTTGTTATTGAAAACATAGCGATTGTTTCTTTTTTTATAAGGTTTAAATAGTTGATTTTGTTAAATATGAGAGTACTTGTTTCCTTGATTTATGCATGTTGATGTCAGGGTCGATGAAATGTGGTTAGCAGTGGAATCAAGGATGTGTGTTTCGCTATATTTTTGACTCGTCAGCTGGATGAACCTGCACCACGGAGTTGATGCTCACTAAGGGACTCGAATCCATCACCGTTTGCTCCAAACGCTATCTCATTTAACCACTTAGCTACTGGTTTACACAGGTTGATATAACCATGCATAAATATTCTCTATTATCATTTATTCACTTGGCCGCGCATCCAATACGGAGGTCATAATTTATTAACGTTTGAAAATAACTACATTTGTGTTCAGTTACCTATCCATATTTCCTGCAAATCTCTAACTTGGATTCTTTTTGTTTTTAGAAAACGTCTAATGACAGTGGGATTGATTCAATTTATCGCACACCGTTAGGACACTTATCCAACATTCTTAAATCCCATCATCTTCGCAAAGTGAAGTGTAATGAATCTAACACTCACCCTTGTAACACTCCAATTTCTACAGCCATCTCAGATACCCAATGTGATACAAGTATCCCTTACTTTTTGGCACCTGCACAATCTCATGCAGTTATCAGTTGGGATCCTGCGATTAATGTCCATGAAGATGTACAACGTCCCACCGAGCAGCTTAATACTCATCCAAATATCAGACATACATGTTACTCTGACGGTGCTTTTGAACAGTCCCGTTCGGTTTTCTCACAAGTGTCGGATTCAGAAATTAAGAAATCACTATTAAGTAATAGTAATCAACTTGTCAACTCAACAGTTAACCGGCCTTATAACAATTTATCTGGTCTTCCTCTTTCCTCACCTTCACATCCAACTGCTACAGAGGTCATAACAACGCAGCATGCTGATTGTGTGAAAGGTGACACTAATATTTCCAGATCCGAGTTATCATCTAAAAGTAGTAGCAAGCCATTCTCAGCCCATCCTTTACCATTAAACACGCTTCGCTTGAAGCCAATGAGAACATATACACGTCTAGCTGTGATTAACATTCTACAGGATGAGTCTGTTTGCCTGGAATTTTTAGGAGGTTCAGCTAAAACTCGACAAAACCAGACTTCAGTAACAAAAAGCAGTCAGAACTTGCGAGTTGTTGAGGTGATGGGTATCAATAATACTGGACAAAATATTTTGATATATAGACCAAATATGGGAAAAGGAGTACCGTTAAATGTTCAAGGGCTCGGTGACCCATCTCAATCAAATTTAGCCAACTCTGAAACCACGAACTTTGGGAGTCCTCCACCTGCATCGCCAGGTGATCCACTCGAGTTTTATACTTTAAATACCTTACCTCAAAAGTACTGGCGAAAATATCAATTTATTTCCAAGTGAGTACATTGGGTTTATTAGTTATCGATGCATAATATATTTTTTATGTATCCGATGTCAATTGGGGGTTAATTTCTCATCATCACTGATCATTTGGTCCATCAGAAAAAGATTATTTTATAGTTATCTGAATACTGTTGAAGCTGTTGGTTATCAGTCAAGCATTCAATTTCCAGTCAATAAGCCACAGATTTGCATCCGTTTTCAACTAATAATATGTAGACAACAAAGTGATACAAGTCAGTGCACCTTCGTGACTGCTAAAGATTTTGTTATTTGAGTTGTATGTCATTCCTCGATTAGTGTTATTTTTTACTTGTGGATGGTCTCCTCGTCTATGAAAGTTACTACCCTTTAGCAACATTAAATTATTGTACTTAGAAATAATATTTATTTATTTATTTGTTTCAACACATAAATTTTGGTACAACAGGGCACCAAATATATATGCGCCACACAATATTTGTGTGTGTGAGCTGTGATATTGCCCGGGTGCCCAGACCGAAGCAGGTGGTTTTCTTAGGGGGCCACACCCCGAGCCTTTGACCTAAAGGTCTGACCCAAAAGGCAGTGGAGCATCGTGAGGAGATGCATTCCCATGGTAGCCGGTGACCAACGATTGGTTCATACGCCATTCGTTCACTCAGGATACTGGAGCCCATGTACACCGTTGGTTTGGGATCCGGTTAAAGCGCCGGACATTCGCCTTTCGTTCTCTCATTTTCGTAAACAACACTTCCGCCACGAGAAGGCAGAAGACATCTTTTCACTGTATCGTTTCAGTGTGTTAGCGGGACATAGACTGGATTAGAGCGTGCTCAATGTACGATTGCTTTGGTGCACGCTGATTGGCTAATTCGTGTCCAATCAGCACTAGTCGACACTTGGAGAGTACTCTAGAATCTTCTCATGGAAAAACTATAAATATACTGACGTTTTCTCTATTGTGCTTCTGACTTGCTTCTTGCTTCCATCTAACCTTGTTATTTGGAATATAATCTCTTTCCTGTTCAACCGTGTTCTGATTTGGGGACTTTTCGAGTGAATTTGTGTCCGAGACTACTAAGCGATAGGAATAGCTGGGTAAGAGAGAAATATAACACAGTGGTTAAAAATGATGAACTTCGATTCGTTATAGCATTCATACTTTTTATCAATATTTATGGACGCATACATCTGTAATGCTTACAAGTTAATTACCAAAATCATTAATATTTAATTAGTTTCTTTCAATTTTTAGACGTGTTTTAACTTAATAAGATCTCATTTCAGAATATTGTTTTAATAGCTTTCATTTCATCATCTATACATGCTATTAGATTCGTTCAGATGGTTCGTGCTCATACTCCTAAAGTAACACTTTACACTAATAAAGTCAAATGTATGCTCATGGAAAATGGTCCATCAGGAGATTTTGTTACTGAATTCCATAATGATGGTACACGGGTATTATGTACTTCTGATGGATCATTACGTATTACTCAGACAACAGAAGAGGACAATTCACTGAAAGTTAAAACGAATATTACACCCACAACAATTACTCTTGATTCAAATCGAAGTCTTTCAACGCTTTCTCCAGAGATAAGAAAACTTATAGATTATGTATATGCCGTAAGTTGTTTCATTTTACCAATAATCACTGCAGCACAAATACTTTTATGACTATTAAATTGTCATCCATACGTTATATTTATCAATGATTTTTAATAGGTTATTGTTATACAAATTTCGGTATACAGGAATTAATGAACATCTATTTTCGATTGAAAAAGAGAAAACCTGTATTGCCTATAATGAGATACGTTCTGATAAGTTTTCCATCCCATTACTTAAAATCACTAGCTGTCCAATTTGGACAACATATTTTAGTGACAGAATGCTCGTGATGATATCTGGATACCACGGATTCTCTTTTTTGAATGCTTAAAAAGTTTTACAGATATAAAATCCCAAATCATGACCAACTAAACTGTCCACTAGTTACCAGTAGTACATTTTTATTTATTATTTATATTAGAAGCTTTATTCAACATTATATTTTTGGTACAACATAGAATTCTCAGCATAAAGTATTTCAACAAGTTTCCTTTTCTTATACCTTGATCTATTGTGACGATAAATTTTGGATGATGACCGGTTAGATGTTAGGAGTTTGGTAATCCACATTTGATTGATGTTCATTCGTTTCAATGCATATTGCCAGCCACCATGATGTCGCTGATTGTACCTTTTTGTATCACGTATAGCGAAAGGTTGTAAACTTTTCATAAACGCGCCTGAATAAATTGTGCGCACAATAGACATAATGATGTGCTAAAACAAACAACAAAACAGATAACTTGATGAAATATCTAGATCGGAGGAACAGGTAGCCCAGATATTCAAGCAGGCCGCTCTCAAACCAGACATTTAGAGCGATGAGCGGAACACTTTAATGAACAGTTCAGCTGGCATTCAGCTCATCTACAACTACCTACCATTCCCAAACAGCCTGAATAGAACACTGAAGTAGGTCCCCGACTATGATTGCAGTTCAAAAAGTTATAGGTAATCTGAAACGAGGAAGAGCAGTTGGTCCAGATAGATTGGTTCCAGAGGTCTTTAAGAATGGTGGTCCAGTTTTAGCGATTAGGCTGACTAATATTTTAGCTAAAATCTGAGAATTGGACGTAATCCCATCTGGCTGGTCGCAATCACTGATTATCCCAATATGTAAGAAGAGGTCAAAATTATCCTGTGATTAGCATGCAGTGATTAGTTTAATTAATATAACATCTTAAATACTAGCTTCAATAATTATCAGGCGCCTAACAAAGACTTGTGAACTACCAACACGAGAATACCAAGCAGGCTTCAGACCTGGTCGTGGCTGCACTGACTACATTTTCACCATTCATCATTTTTTAGAATACAGGCATGTTTATTGGCGTCTGACAATGGTGGTCTTTCTTTACCTAAAAGCAGTATTTGACTCTGTAAACCGAGAGGTTCTGTGGCAGTGTCTGTCATTGAAAGGCGTACCTCAAAAGTGCATAAACCTTGAGAAAGCTCTTAACTCGAACACTACCACTCGAATGACAGCTTATGGCGAACTGTCGTCTGATTTTACAACCTCAAGTGTTATCCGGCGAGGCTGTCTACTACCTCTATTTTCGTTTAATTTAATCATAGACCTACTACTGGAAATAAAGTCCTCGTCGACTGAGTTTTGAGGAATTGGTCTCGTTCCAGGTGGTCCACTTATCGACTTAGAATACGCAGATGACATAGTCCTGTTTGGTGAAGACGCTGACAAAATGCAGAGCCTTTTGTTATTACTGAACAACAACACCAGGATGTTTGGGGTGTGTTTCTCCACATCTACATGTGAATCGTTGCTTCAGGACTGGCCTTCATCAACACCTAAACTAAGGATGGGGAGTAAATATCCCTTGCATCTGCTTGGATCACCTGTTAAGTAATAGTGAGGTTAGACTTAGTGTATCAGGGAATGATGTTAAACCATTGATGAGGTTGTAAATCTTCATTGACTGAGGTTGTTGGACGAATTATTCCTTTATTTTTGTATCATGTCCTTATATGATATGTTTTTTACTACTGTTGAATCAACTACTTCTATGGATTTGGCGTTCATCTTGTTTTGCTAATGAGGTGTGCAAACTGGAACTGATGCATATGTGTGCCTGGTTCCTATATCTTAGCTGTCCGACTTATTGAGATGCACGGGCTGATATATGGAAAAAAAATTGGAAATGCATATACTATTGGAATCTGTTCATAAAGATAACGTAATAAGTAAAGCTTATGTTTTCAGTTAGATCATGCGCTTCAGTGAAGGCTATTAAGATGCTCCAAGGCTCTGACAATCATAAAGCTCCTATTATGTTGAAAATTTCGGAAGTGATTGTTAATTAACTCAGTTTGAATATATATATATTACCCCCTAGTTCAAATTTACTTTCATAGTAAATTAGGGTTGATTTACTACTCTACTTTTTATTTGTGAATTAGTGCCGAGATCATTGCCGAAAAATTGAACAACTATTAGCCAGAATGGATTCAGAAGATACATCAGTTTTATCTTGTTCTTCATTTCCTGTTATATTAGGACATCGTCCTAATACAGGTTTTAACCTGATTACTTCGTCACAGAATTATCCAAAACCGACATCATTCACGAATGTGATAACGAATGAATTAGGTGATCAAGTTTCATTATCTTCACAATTGTATAATTTAATATCTGATTGTTTGAAAGAAAAATATAAAAATCCTTTATCAGAAAATCAAGCAAAACATGATCATTTGCCTACAAATGCAGTATTCGTCCCGAATGTGGGTTGGGCAAGCCAATTTAGTGACGATAGACTTCAAGTGCAATTTAATGATGGAGCCAAACTTTTATTAGTTTATAACCGAACTTTAGTCTATTCTATCCATTATTCTGCACCTCCTGAACACAATCAGGAACTACCAAAAGAATATGTGTACAACACATCTGATCCTCTCCCAGACCATATTTATCGAAGGTTAGAGGTAATGCCAACCGTTATCAATCAACTTCGTACAGTTGCCAACAAAATTATTTCTTGAAATTGTACAGAATAAATATACTTTCCCTACAAATTAGCATCAAGTATGGCTGTGAAAATTCTGTTTTTATCTAAAATTTTCAATTTCTATGGAATTATCATTCCACGTTCATACCTGTTCTTTCTTCATCTAAACTTTTGAAAAATTAATCCATCGCTCATAAAAATTTCCTTTTAGTTACCTTTCTTACTTTATTATTTGTTCATGCGTACTCCTTCAGTTTTCTTACTGTATCATCGTTCCAGTATTTTTCAGATGGCGCCTGTCCTAAAACAGTTTTTTTGTTAAATATATTTGTCTGTAAATAACTTGACTTACGATCTTTTTTATTGGTTCATACTACTGTACGCATCGTAGAAATGTTGGTAGAACAAGATGTCACCTTTTCATATCACTATCTTAAATTACTGTTTAGTTCTCTTCTTTAATTATTCATAATCAACATCAATCCTGACAAAAGTGTACGCTAGCCCAAGTTGTCATACCAAGTTAACATTGAGTGATGAAATTAATAAGAGGAATGGCGAAATGGTCAAAATACTGATAATACCTGTGGTAATAAAGAATATTAAACATTAGTCTTCCGTAAACGTTTGGTTCAGGGGCCTAGAAGACGTCACTGTTCTCTTTACGGCAGTATGTAAATCATGCGTGGTCGCTGTAATAATACTAGTGGTACATTGGAACAATGACTGGACCTTAAAAGAAGTGTTGACATTAGGGATAGTAGAAGTAAAGAAGATATTTGATCATGACCAATGTGATCTCGAGTGTTTTTGAAGGTGTGCAGACAGTTTTTACTCACCTGTTTCTCCAAATCGTGGGAAGGATACTTTTTAGTGAACCTGAAAAAATCGGTTTGAAGTGACCGTAGAGCTTAAGATGCAACTGATAGAATCCAATCACAAACTGTTTGAGTATAATAGGTTCATAACCAACGTTTGACTTGATAATTTCACATAAATTGAGCATTCGGTAGATTGTTACAAATATATTATTGTATTTATTGTTTGAGTATAGGTTTCGATGCGTTAGCTTCATATTTTCAAGGCCATATCGCCAGTGACAGAAATCAGTGAGACAAGGTGGAATGTGCTATATTTAAGGCCGATTTTTCCTAAATTCCTGTCGTTGTGGGAAGCTAACACCACTGAATAGGCTGATGATCTGTGGGGGACAATTTATTGCCACCACATCTCACTGAATTTGACAGCGCAACTCCGTCGGACTCTAATTTGCTGCTTTTAGTTTTTCTGCTCTCCAACCGACCTGAATGACATCAGGACTTAAAGAAACAAGTGTTCCAGTCAATATAATTCGATTTACCATCAAGATAGGCAAACCTAACCACCTTGTCACTGGACAAATATACAACAACATATATAAGTGAACAATATTGTTTTCGATTAGATCCTCATCAGGCTTTACTCTAATATATAGTAATATTTATATGCATATACGAAATGATTAAACCAATCAAGGTAGTTTATGAGTCAATGATAACAATGGAAAAGATTACATAATAAGTAAAATGCGAAAAGTACAAATTGATGGTGTGACAACAGGTGCATTATTTTTGATAAAAATAATAAAGGTTCAAATCAATGTTACATAATCTGAAATAGGTCAATGATTAGAAAAATATAGAAACTCAGATAACAGTTATAAAATTATAAGATGACGTAATAAGAAATGTTCAGATAATTGGACCATGAAACGTATAGTTGAGAGAAAATAAAGTGGTAGGAGGGTGTGAAGAAAAATAATAAACGAAGATAAAGTTAGAAAAAGAATAAATAAATTCATTTATTACTTAAGGCCAGGGGAGAGATAAGGGTGTTACAAATTTCTTCTGAACACAAAGACTTGGCTTGTTGGTTCGGATTCCTATAGCTTCTGCTATGTGTAAGAGATGAGATCGAACACCATAAGGAAAACTAGTGGGAATACGATAAATAACTTTGAACGACTTGTTTCTGTCCACTATATGACCGCTATCGATCAAGTGTGATAGAATCGAGCTGCGTATTGTTTTGACGTAACCTTTTCCTAACCACGAAGTGAGGTGTTCACTAACTCGTTGGTTCAGTTGCCTGGTAGTGCGCCCAATATAGCTTTCTCCACAGGAGCAGCTGAATTCGTAGATACACATAGAAGTGGCATAACCAGGTAACTTATCCTTCAATTTCGGAATCACCATCGATCGGGTCGAATACGATAGGCAGAGGTTGGCAGCATTAAACGTTCTCTTCACTGCTCTAGTCAATCTATCCCGTAATACATCGCTAGCCAAATTACCATCCAATTGCGGTTTCAAGAAAAGCGGTTTCTTATTAGCCGTCAGAGTCACTACTTTCCTGTTTTGTACGCGCAAATGTTTCTTCAGGGAACCCAGTGGATATCCCAATTCAATCAAAATATTATGAATGTGTTGTAATTCTCTATCAATAGTGTCGACTGAGCATATCTTAAGAGCTCTATTTGCAAGACATTTGACTAAGTTTCTCTTATAATGAAGAGGCACAAAGCTTAAAAAATGTGTGTATTGGCTTGGAGAAGAACTTTTTCTATACACACCTCTGCTGATAGAACCATTTTCTTTTCTACCTAACAAAACGTCCAGAAAATTTAGTTTGTTATCTATTTCCTCCTCATACAACAGCAAAGATCAGTGAACGGATAATTTTACCCGATATAAGGATTAACTCCGAGATAACGAACAGATTATTAAGATCACTAGGAATAAGTATGGCCTACAAGCCGGCATATTCTCTGCAACCAATGCTATTCAGACCAAGGGACACCGAGAAATGGAGACAAGGCCAACATCATCTAAAAAATAAACATTTGTGATACACTATATGTGACAAAGTTACCTCCTCTTTGTCTAGGTCAATATGAACTCCAGTTAGCTATTGAACAACACGACAAAGCTTCACTCATCAGTGCATTTGGACATTAATTTGACTGGGACAACGTTGAGAAGTTGGAGAGAAGAAACACCATGAAAGTCGGTGATAAATCTTGCAAATTCAACGCTATATTCGTTTCCTAAGCTATTCTGAAACCCCCAAGCTTGAACTATACAGCGACCTGAACAACAAGAGAGAAGACACAAAGTATGCGAGAAGTACTTTACTCCAAGGTTCATTTTAACACAGAAAATATAGGGATTTTATAATATTTTTAAATGTCCTTGGGTTGCTCGAAGATTCTGGAATGCTACTAAACATTGTAGCAGTATAGCAGTCAGCCAATCAGAACATCTACATGTGACGTTCCACTTGTTTGATATTTTTGGCTAAAACTTCAAGTGAACGCTGATTGGATGGAACGCTTCTTAGTGTTTCCTGATGCTTGCTTGTCTTTTGCAAGCGATTTTCTGGATCACTCCAACAGTCCGGGAATTAAACATCATTCAATAAACACATAGAAGTCGACCAAATCTATCAACCAATCAGAAAAAGGGTTAACAACGAGGTTAAATCTGAGGTCTGGGGAGAAAGCAATATGAGTAGACATACAAGTCACAACTACGCAACTATGGATAACAACCTATCAAATTCCAGGTCGACAATATAGGCTGTCCGTCAATTGTGGAGAAATCCTAGTTGCTCACTTTTCGAAATGAAAGCCTCACAATAAATCCTTCCAGCTCAGAGACTGCAACAACTCCAACATCCTCATCCCTTGATACAAATATTCTCGATCATATATTTCAAGCGAGTTAATGACAGGAATATTATCGTGAATAAAGACATTACTGGTCAACAGAATTTTAATGATTGCTTTACAACTTGGTCATACTCTCAAAACAAATAATAACTTCCCAGAATATCCTGTCGAAGCCTTTATATCACAGATTGACTTCCAAACAACGAAAACCCAGATTGTCGTTGGCGCTACAGCATATTTAGTAAAACTCATAAGGCTTTGTACTGAAAATAAGTCATAACCTTGCGAGAACTATTCCAACAGTACTGATGGCAGAAACCGTTACGTCACAAATATACCCGTATTGTTTCCAACAGCACGGTGACTAGTCTTTTAAAAGCCTAAACTTTCTAAGAACAAATGTTACCATATGCTTAATTGAGGAATCTTTCAGTGCTCGAATAACTCATTTATACCCTGAACATCATTTAGTAATTACGATTAACTCAAGATCAAAACAGTTACCTTTCTATAATATTGAATGAATATCTGGTTAGATTATGAACCAAATGAGGCTTGGAAATGTTAATCGCTGTGTTGTAACTTAGCAGCTGGAAGATATGCTCAGTGCGAGACCTGAATTTTCTGAATATATTTCCATCTCTGGGTTGTCACTGAGTCGTTGCCAGTAGCCCTTAAATGAAATATCTATTCAGCGTTCAATGGCTTCTGAATTTTTTCACTTATTAAAGAGAGATATCTTTGATTAGGTGTTCACTTAACAAGAACAAGAAACGGTAAATATTCTTATAACTGTGTGCGGATGTAATGATTGTTAATTCTATCGAATAAACTAACTCAGTTGTTGTCAGTGTTGATTTTTCTTAATACAAACCATTCAATTCATCTTATTTACTAAATTATTTTGTACATTGATTCAAGAGAAACAAAACAGTGGTAATCGTAAAAAGCTTAATATGCGGGTAAACTAATGCATACATCGAAATTTTATGTAGTTACTGAGATCAAGTTTAGTCAAATATGATTAGATAGAAATAATTACAGTTATGACGGTCAAACTGACTAAATGTTTACTTAGGTAATACTTAAGAATTTTCTTGTAGTTCACCATAGAGACAAATAAAGAAGAAGGGAAATGTGTATTTAAGCTAAGTGAATAATTAATTCCAGCATAAACATGTAAATAGATGTGTCACCAGTTTCGATGACTTATTTAATTTGTTTGTCTCAGATAAGTAACTATGTTCCACAGGAATTCACCTCAATTCAAGATTAGTAAGTTTCAGTCTGTAGAAATGAAAATTATTTCCTTTGACGAAAAAGAAAAACTGATGTCATGTTTACTCATCAAACAGTTGGTTTTTCTAATTTACATATGATATGTATACTGTCATTTCTTTACACTGTTAATGAAATGCAATATAAGTTACGTAGATAAAATGAACATATGTAAGTCAATAGTAATTAATCTATTATATTTTGATAAATTCGTTCAAGGAGATAATAACAAATATCATCGGAACTCTTGAAAGATTCTTTAGTTCGTTTTATACTCAAATACCCTACAGATATGTTTATCACATTTTTTATATTCTTATAATTATAAATCGTCATTGTACAGTTTGCTTTTTGCCACTTTTACATATTAGTGTAATCCAGAATAATCTCTTCTCCACATCTCTTTAGATATATCTTTTAAAGTTCTAATTAAATCACTTTACGAAACGAAGCAAAT